GATCTGGCTCTGAAGCTTGCCAAGAAGGCAGACCACGTGCACATGGGTGGTATGGTGTAAATGCATGAATAGAGACACAGCAGGTCCTCTAATGACTCTCCATTTAACTGATGACTATGGGATTGCTGGATCATATGGAAGATCTATCTGTAGTTGTTTGAGAAACCTCCATACTGTTTTCCATAATGGCTGTACTAATTTATAGTCCCACCAACAGTGTAAGAGGGTTCCCCTTTCTCCACATCCATGCCAGCATTTGTTATTCTCTTTCTTTTTGATAATGGCCAGTCCAGCTGGGGCGAGATGATATCTCAATGTGTTTTTGATTTGCATTTCCCTGATGATTAGTGGTGTTGATCATTTTTTCATGAGTCTGTTGGCCATTTGTGTATCTTCCTTTAAGAAATGACTGTTCAGCTCCTTTGCCCATTTTTTAATCAATCTCACTGCTGGGTGTACACCCAAAGTAATGGAAATCATAATCTCAAAGGGACACCTGCACTCCCATATTTATCACAGCTCTGTTTACAATAGCCAAGAGTTGGCACCAACCTAAATGTCCATCGACGGGTGGCTAGATAAGGAAAATGTGGTATATAGACACAATGGAATATTACTCTGCCATAAAAAAGAATGAAATTCTTTTTTTTTGTTGTTAAATTTTTATTTTGTCAATATACAATGTATATGATTATTATGGAAAAAAGAATGAAATTCTGCCATTCGCAGCAACATGGATGAACTTAGAGAAAATTATGTTAAGTGAAATAAGCCAAGCACAGAAAGAGAAATGTGGCATGTCCTCCCTCATAAGTGGGAGCTCAAAAAAAGAAATAAATAAAAAAAAGAAAGAAAGGAAGATACAATAATCATAATAATTCTTTGAACTTTCAAAAGGAAAGAATGAAACTGAGGCCACCAGAGGAGGAAAAGGGAGAGGAGGGGGGGGGTTAGCAAGAAATTGGTAAAGGGCCACAAAAATGATTACATTGTGCAATAATAAACATATTAATTATCCTGATTTGAGCATCACATATTACACATAGGTATTGATATTCAATGCTGTACCCCACGGATATGAACAATCAGTTTTGTTTCTAAAAAAAAATTCCAAAAATAGCAGTTGAATTGAAACTTTCATCTTCCAATAATTACAGGAATATGTAACCTACCAAAATCAAGTGAATTGTATTTGTTCATGTCCCCTCAGCCTTTATGAAGGTAAACATTGGCTTGTCTGAGAAGAGCTTGTCCAACAGTTTCAGTTGTACAGAGATGGGATGGACCGCCATCTGAAGTATTGATCATCTTGACAGAAGCCACACAAGCATCTGTGGTAGCCGGTCTCCACGATGGCCTCCTCCAACCCCACCTCCCGATGATCGCACCCTTGTGTGGTCCTGTCCCACGTCTTAGTAATCATGTGTGAATATGGCAGAAACAATAGTATGAGAAGATCACTTCCAAGATTAGGTTATTAAAGACACCACATCATCCACTTTGGTCAATCTCTGTCACTCTCATGGATCACTCACTCTGGGGGAAGCCAGCCCCCTTGTTGCAAGTGACCCTGTGGAGAGAAGTACGTTGTGAGGAAGTGAAGCCTCCTGACAACAGCCCTGTGGGTGAGTTTAGACGTGGGTCTCATGTGCCAGTCGAGCCTTCAGGTGACTGCAGCCCCAGCAGACAGCTTGACTGCAACCTCCTGAGCGATCCTGAGCCAGAATCGTTCAGCTAAGTTGCTTCCATATTCCCAAACCTCACATTGTATGAGATAATAAATATTTGTTGTTTAAGCTGCAAAAATAAATATAAAGAAATAAATAAACAAATAAATAAAATAATAATGTAGTAACTGACTGCTGGATGGACCAAAACTCTCCATATGTTTTATACAACAGGCCAATTGAGGCCCATAGCCTTCTCCCTAGTATACCAGCACACATGTCTGCTACACCAGTGGATTTTATGATTGCCAAGAGTTAGTTGTTTCCACTCTCATTACTGCCAGTTAAACTTATTATTGTAACAAACTAACTTAGTTAAATATTAAATAACAAATTGATTTAATATAAATTTGTTTCTGTAAAAACAAGGCTGGAAGATTTGATCAAATAAAATTGTTAGACAAACTGCTATTCAATTAGGTGTGGCAGAGATAGAATTTAAAAAGTTGGAGAAAAGCATGAATTAATATCTAAAAGGACTCTGTACTCAGATTTTTACACAAACATCTTTAAGCAACTGGCCTGTTTCAAAGAACCAGAACAGGAAATTGTTGATGGTACACTGTGGGTGTGATTTAGCAAGAAAGATACCAGAGAACTCTAGATAGCAGACCCATTCCCAAAGAGAGGACCTGGACCCTATCTCCAAGATTGAAGAATTAGTGTGCATTTGTATTTTTTAGGTTAAAATGTCTAGTGTCCAAGTATCTGTTTGTTTGTTTTTGATTCTTCGCTTAAACTTTTTCAATTAACCCATCAGGTGGTATTGACCTATCAAATAGGGATGCAACCTTAATAAGAAAACAAACCAAACACAAATAAAAACTTACATTACCCCTAGAAGTTCAAGACCCAAACTGAGGGACAATAATAATAATAATAAATCAAGAACTGTGACTTGATGACCAAAAAGGGGGAGCCAAGTCACTGCAGGTGGTGTTGGGAAGCCAGACCCCAGGCAGGAGGGAATTTAGGGGAACTAGGAGGTGACAGGCAGTGCCCCACCCTGCCCTCTGGTGACACCTGAGTGGGTCCTAAGGATTCTTGGAACTGTGAGAGCCACTTGCTGAGATCAGACCTCATGTACTAATCACAGGGAAAGCAATGATACTAAATCTCTGGTACAAAATAAAAGATTTGCCTGAAATTTAAAAAGCTTTTCATTTTCTATGGTCATTAAGACTATGTATAAGCCTGAAGACCTTATTTAAAAACTAGTGACCTGAAGTTCAAGCATCAAGTTGATTTCTTAGTTTTGGGAATGATGTATTTAAAAACTAGTGACCTGAAGTTCAAGCATCAAGTTGATTTCTTAGTTTTGGGAATGATGTAATTGGATACGGACATGGATAAGAATGTACTCTGGTTTTGGAGAGATGCATACAGAAGTATTGGGGTGAAGTGTCATGTTGTCTGCTGTCTACTTTTGAGTGGTTTAGCAGAATTGGATACGGACATGGATAAGAATGTACTCTGGTTTTGGAGAGATGCATACAGAAGTATTCGGGTGAAGTGTCATGTTGTCTGCTGTCTACTTTTGAGTGGTTTAGCAGAAAAAAGTGTGTGTGTGTGTGTGTGTGTGTGTGTGTGTAAGAGAGAGGAGCGGGTGGAACAACAAGTTAGCACTTGGTGAACCTAGATGAAAGGGGATAGGTGTTCACTGCACTGTTTTTCAACTCTTTTAGGGTTTAAAATGTTTATAAAACTTTTAAGTTTAATCAACTAACAATTAGTCTTATGTTCATTTTAATATGTGTTAAAATAGCCAAAGCCTCTAGTTTCGTTTTTGCCATTTCAACCATAGTTGTTCATAATTCATCCTATAGAAAACATCTCAGTCATGGCAGCCGAACAATCACCATTTAGTTCATGTGCCTTAAAATTCTGGCTCTAACCTGGATGTAAATCAATTACCAGCCATCCACTGGATCCACTCATTGATCCATCCAATCAATCCATGAGCATTTATTTGTTCAATACATATCATATGCCAAGGATACCGATGTGAGCAAGACTATATAATTCCTTCTCTCCTGGGACATACAGTCACCAGGGAAAACATGCATGAAACATCTAACTGCAAATGTTCCATGGGAGCATATAGGGAATGGGGTCCGATCTATTCTGGAGGAGATCAACAAACACTTATCTGCTCAAGCTAAGACTGAAAGATTTCCAATAGTGTATTGTGACTCTGACTTTTATTCCAAGAAAAAAACTTAAGCCTGTCTCATCGCCTCCACATACCTTCTCAGGGGTTAGAGGACTATCAGTCTGTCCCTCTTCCTTCTGGCCCAGAGATGCTCAGAATCCAGGTATCGTGTGGCATGTGGAAGGCAGAAGAGTCAGAGATGGTCCTGGCCATTTGAAAACAGTGGCCAGATAGCTCCATGGACACATGAGCACAGGTCCTGGTCCAGATTGGGCTTCCTTGCCCAGCATCGTGTGCCCTCATGTGTAGGACTCCGACTTTTCTTTCCAAGGCCCTGCTGCCTCCTGCAGATGCTGTGTAGGAGCCGCACACTGGTCCCAGGTACTTACACTTTCACAATCAAAAGCCCAGAGGAGTCTTGTCTTTAGGCGACTTTTGCTTGAGTTCAGCAACAAAAGCATCCCAAAGGTGAGGGAACACACAAGTCTGACTACTTTCTTGGAATGACAGAAAAAAAAAATGTTACAAAAAAAAAAAAAAATACATGTGCAAATTAGTGTCTCAAATGATGTAGTGTTCAGAAATCTCTAGAGAATCAGCTCTATCCTACAGAGATTGGGATTGGGGTGAGAGTTTAGGGTAGTGGTTCTCAACCTTGAGCAGGCATCAGAACCACCCAGGGGTGTATCAAAACATTACTGAGACCCAGCCCAGAGTTTTTGATTCCATGAGTGGGGACAGGGTCAATAATTTGCATTTCTGACAAGTTTGCAGGTGCAGCTGATGCTGCCGGTCTGGGAATTCACACTTGAAAACCACTGCTTTAGTAGAATATACTTAAATACGGGATTGAAATGAACAAAAAAAATTTTTTAAATCCAGAATGACAAGATTAATATAATCAAATACAGTAAAAACGAGGTACACTCATCTGACATTTTTCCTCTAAGCAACATCTCACTTCTCTGCTCTATTTCTGTTGATAGATTGCTACACCGTCACATGGCTCCTAATGAATAGTGTTTAATACTCAAAGAACAGAGAAATATGCTTGCTTTCATCCTGTCATTTGGACTTTATTAAGCTGTTTTTAAACAAAACCTTTCTTTTTCCCTCTTCCTAGGGCTGTGTCTGTAAAGACAAAGGACAGTGCTTCTGTGGTAGAGCCAAAGGAGAAAAGGTAAAAACAAAACCTAATACTGCCTCCTTTCACTACGAAGCTCATCAAATAATTCACACCCTTCTTCCATCAGTAGCAGAAAGATCGCCAGTATGTTGTTCCATTCCCCAAATATAATTTTAAAGTAATTGGATATAAACATTAACCTTAAAAAAAAATGCCTTCTAGGAAGCTTCAGATAACTTGTGTAAATACTGGCAATTAAATTACAATTCTCTCGGTCTGTAATGAATAGGTAGCGAGCTAGCGAAAGAGAAAGTTTATGAGAGGCCCCCATTTGTATATACTATTTACAAGGTTGCTAAACATGAGAGGAGAATTGAAAACGACTTGATTCACTCACTTTGACATAAAATAAACAGTGAAACAGGCAGATTTTGTCCTGCAGCATTGGTGCACGAGCGCCCCCTGATGGACGAATTCCGCAGCAGCACCCTAGTTGAGGCAAAAATTACAAGGTTGCTAAACATGAGAGGAGAATTGAAAACGACTTGATTCACTCACTTTGACATAAAACAAACAGTGAAACAGGCAGATTTTGTCCTGCAGCATTGGTGCACGAGCGCCCCCTGGTGGACGAATCCCGCAGCAGCACCCTAGTTGAGGCAAAAATTCAGCAGAGCGCCCGCAGCTCCATAGCAGAATTCGAGAAAAAAAGGAATGCCGTGAAATCTCATTAATTCGCTCCATTAACTTGCAATTTGTGATAATTAAGACAGAGGCAGAACTAAAGTTTTTTCTTTGTTTACAAAACCCTTCCCTCAGAGACCCTAATTAATTGTTTAACAATATTGAAGGATGACAATTTAGAAATATTTTTGAGAACATGTTTTAAATAATTAAGACAGAGGCAGAACTAAAGTTTTTTCTTTGTTTACAAAACCCTTCCCTCAGAGACACTAATTAATTGTTTAACAATATTGAAGGATGACAATTTAGAAATATTTTTGAGAACATGTTTTAAGCTATGCAGAGAAAACAATTTACACATTATTTATATGCTAATTGTAATCATTATTATTATATTTATTTTACAGTAGAACATGTTTTAAGCTATGCAGAGAAAACAATTTACACATTATTTATATGCTAATTGTAATCATTATTATTATATTTATTTTACAGTGTTTTGTAATTCATGTGTAGTTTGATTTGGATTTTTTTCCGAAGCTATGAATGTAGTGTATTCAGATTCACGTTGAAAAGCACCCTCTCTGTGATTCATTTTGCACTCAAGAAGCATTTATTGAGTCCCTGTTACTTACAAGATGCTACTCTAGGATGTGCAAAAGTAACTGAGTAGTAAGAGAGGTCCAGAAAATTCTTTTATTTCTCTTCTTATTGGGTGCTGACTTGATCTTTTTTTTTTTAAATTTGCCAGTTGTGTAACTAAATTGACAGGATAACCAGTGGCCTTTACTATTAAAGAGTAATTCCGGGACCCATATTCATGGGGAGATTATGGGTAGAGCTTTGTCAATGACTGGGCCTAATGTTCTTTGACTAACTTTTACTAGGGACTTTCCCATAATATCATGACTCCTTCTAAAAAATTATTTACCTCACATTTTGTTATGCCAGTGTTGATATCTCTCCTGCATCTCCTACACAAATAGCAGATTGAATTACTAATTCCTGTGTAAGCAAGAAAGGATTGAAACTCATAATCTACATGGTGTTCTTTTCAAGCTACACAGTAATCATGCACACTCCCAAAACACATTCTTGTGCCTTACCCTTGCTCTCCAACCCTCAACAAGCACATTCCACAGCCTTGATTTTCCTAACTGGGCATTCCCCTCAATTCTTGATTCCCTCTCCCTTAAGCTCTGCCTTGCATAGCTCTACCATTAGGGTAAAAGTAAAGTTTCTACAAGACCAAGGGCCAGCTCTTTCAAGCCTGTAGAAAGTGCTAACAGCTGGTAGCTTTCCAGGTACCTATGCACTCAGTACTGAGAGCTAATTATTATTTTTTTTAATCTAAGAAATAAATATGGAAAATGTCCTCATGAAGTCATACAGAAGAAAACACAATGACAGTAGTGTGTTCATTGTTGGACAGTTGCTGTTCTGTGTGTTTGGTTTTAACAGGGGGAGAAAGGCTTTCCTGGACCCCCTGGTTCTCCTGGCCAGAAAGGATTCCCAGGTCCTGAAGGCCTTTTCGGACCACAGGGACCCAAGGTATGTCATCCTGTATGCTTGAAAATCCCCCATCCACCTAACCCTTCTCTATGCTTACCCCCTGGGCTGCTGAGAACCTGGAGAGAATTCCACGTCTTAGCCAACTGGTGGGTGCATGTCAAATTCCTGGTCTCCAGTCTTAGCTGGGTCCTCAGAATTACATCCTATTCCAAGACCATTGCAAATGATTATCATTATCTCCAAGTCCGCTACTCAACGCCACCCCCTCCCGTCCCCCCACTGCACAGTTTCTACACCTGCATCTGCTCCTACCTTCTTTTCTCCTACATGAAAGGATAAGCTGTTTTCACCTTCCATTCCGAGCTGATCCATCCACCTGGACCTGATCACTGGGATTCCCATTAGGACCTTGTTCCAGGAGGTGTCTCTCCTCTCTGCCTGTGCAGTCTAACTTTCCTTTTGATGTTGGCTTTTCTTTCAGTCTCTAAACATGCAAATATTCTCCCATACAAATTCTCTAGATCTTTTGGGTCCTGTAACCACAGGATTGCCATCCTCTCCCTGTTTTCCGTTCTCTATCAAGCTTCCTAAAAGTATAGCTAAGCGCGCTGCCTATAGTTCATCTATTCACTCGTTAGCCAGCAATAATTTGCCTTCTGCCTCCTCTCCTCTGAAAACACTCCTGCAAAGGTCCCGAATGACCTTCAAATGGCCAATGCCAAGTGGATATTTTTGTGTCCTTACTTGACCTGAACCCCTCTGCTTTGTTTTAAACTGTGTGGCTCACTCTCTCCTTGAAACATTTGTCTGTCTTTGCTTCTGGGATCTTCCTTTTCCTGATTCTCTACCTGTCTCCCCAACCTCTCCTTCCTTCATGGATTCCTTTTTCTCAACTGATCCCTTAAACAGCAGGCTCCTAAGGTTCTTAGCAGAGCCTACTGCGCTTCCCACCCATCACACACTTTTATCTGAAAGTCTGTGATACACAAAGGGCTTTGTTTAAATAAATACCCTAGAGGATTTACCAAATAGCTGCATAACCACCAGATTTGCTGATTGTCCTTTCCTGCTGTGGACATGAGCTGGACTTAAGCCCGGGCTCTCACGCACTCACGCGTTCCCTCCCCTGCCTCCTAGCCTCCAGCAAGCTGTGAACTAACTCACAAGTTACAGAGGATGGTAGGATTGTAGAATAACTAAGTGGTCATCGAAGACAACACACTGTGTATTTGCTCTGCACCAGACACTGGGCTGTTCATTCCTCCCTGAATCTCACTCCCACAAGACTGCCCCCACTTCAGACACCAATCACAAAATGTGAGTCCCTGGGTCACCCACATTTCTGTCTGAGTTGGCTGCAATTTGAGGGTTCCCATGCACCCCTCTTCAGGCTTGATATTTTGTTATCATAGCTCGCAGGATTCAGGGAAACACTTACTCTTGTTGACAGGTTGATTATAAAGGATATGATAAAGGATATAGATGAACAGCCACACAAAGAGGTGCATGGGGCGAGGTCTGGAAGGGTCCCAAATGCAAAGCTTTTGTCTTCATGGAGTTGGGCAGCACCAGCCTCCCGGAACACAAATGTGCCCACCAACCTGGAAGCTCTCCAGACTCCATACTTTAGGGATTCTTATGGAAGCTTCCTCACATAGGCATAAGTTATTAACTCAGTCTCTAGCCCCTCCCCTTTCTGGAGGATGAGGGTGGGGCTGAAATTTCCAAACTTATCATGGCCTGGTCTTTCTGGTGACCAATCCCATCCAGGAGTCCACCAGAAGTCAACCCATTAGAACAAAAGACATTCCTATAGCCCAGGAAATTCCAAAGGATCAGGAGTTCTGTGCCAGGAACCAGGGCCAAAGACCAAGTATTAGAAGAAAATATGCTCCTAGCACCACTACCACTCAGTATATTAGAAGGGTTTTAGGAGCTCTGTGCTGGGAACCAAGGACAGAGACCAAATATATGTTTCTTGTTATGTCATATAGGTGATGCCTTAACCCATTTCCTATAACCAAAGAAACTAAATCCACACCTACAGCTCACAGTACAAATGCAAATGCTATTTTTTCCTATTTTTAAAAATGTAATTGAAACATTGATTGTACGTATTTATGGCGTACAGAGTTATATTTCAATACATTTATACAGTGTGTAGTGATCAAATCAGGGTAGCTAGCAAATTCATCATCACAAACATTTATCATTTTTTTGTGATGAGAACACTTCAGCTCCTCTCTTTTAGCCACTTGTCAACATACAATAGATTATTGTTAATTATAGATGCCCGGCTCTACTGTACACCAACAGAACTTACGTTTCCGATCTAGCTGTAATTTTGTGCCCATTAACCAATCTCTCTCTATCCCCCATACTGCCTGCCTCTGGTAACCACAGTTCTACTTTCTACTTCTAAAGTTCAACTTTTATTATTATTATTATTAGCTTCCACCTGTGAGTGGGAACACATGGTATTTCTCGTTCTGTGCTTGGCTTACTTCACTTAACATGATATTTTCCAAGCTCATTTTGCTGCGAATGGCAGAATTTCATTCTTTCTTATGGCTGAGCAGTATTTCATTGTGTATATATGCCACATTTTTTAAATTCAATCACCCATCGATGGACATTTAGGTTGGTTCAAAATCCTGGCCATTGTGAATGGAGCTGCAATAAACGTGAAAGTGCAGGTGTCCCTTTGACGTGTTGATTTCCTTCCTGTTTGGTGTGTAGCCATTGGAGAGATTGCTGGATTGTGCGGTAGTTCTAGTTGTTTGAGAAGCCTCCATACTGCTTTTCATAAAATGCTTGCATCTGTCTACAATCCACCAACAAGGCACAAGAGTTCCCTTGCAAAAACTATTTTGCTATTTCCCAGGAATTCTACTGCATCTGTTCTACATTTGTCATGTTCATGTATGTGTTCTTTTTCTCCATTTCTCCTTCTTCTGATCCTAATTTTGAAAAAGTCATTCAGGTTCTGGGCAGGGCCTAAACATTCCGCTGCCTCCCTCCAGGGCCTGGTCTAGGGTTTTTCTGCATTTCTCTGGTAGAATGAGTTGACCACTTCAGCCCTGGACTCAGAGCAGACTAATGCCAACCCCTGTCTTTTTATTTTGTTCTCTATACCCTGCTCTGTTTGTTTCCTTCCACACTTCTTTAGAGAAGCAGCAATCAATTAAAATAATAGTTGTGAACACATGGTACTTAATACAGATTGTGTGATGTGAGAATATTCTATAAAATTAATCCAGAAAATCTGTATGTCATGTTGTCATAGATTCATATTTTAAAGCACAGCTTACAGGTACAGCCACAAAAGATGATTTGACCAAAAACAGACAATTAGAGAATATTAAAAACTGACCAAAAAGATTTCTCAGATTTATGAAGCACCTATCTTAAATATTTTCTGCATGACAAAATTTACAATGGGAAATAAAACCTACAAGTCACTCTTGTGCCTTCTGCATAACACAAGCAGCAACTTGCAGAGGGAAGGAATGGCCTTGAATATGATCACACACCCCGGAATTCCACCTCCGATAGAAAAGGTTGACTTTGGCCTTGACAGTCCAATCTCAGAAGAGTCTGTAACAACCCTTTCTCAAATAATCAAAAATACCAAAACGTACTGAAACTCTCTGGAACGATAGAAACAGCTTTTGGACAATGGAACTTTCACACCAAATGGCCTAGTTAATTTAAAACAGTCTCCATTTAAGAAGTCTCCGTTTCTTATACTTTAAGAAACGGGGCCTCAAATTTTATTCATTTTGTGCCCTAAGCAAGTTTATCTCTGGTTCAGGCAGTTCTTAGTTTGCTATTTATTTACTTATGCATGTCAAGCACATTTTGTTAATAAAGTGTTTCTCATGCACAGAAATGTTGGCTGTCATTCTTGTCTGCCCCTGTAATTGTGTCATGTGTCCTTATCAGGCCTCAGCAGCTATTTGGCTTATGCGGTGCTTTTATAACAGCACTTCACAGACTTTAATGTGCACAAGAATCACCATCGAATCTAGTATCTGGGAGGTGGAGGAGATCTGATCTTCTGCATTTCTCACAAGCTCCCAGGGATGCAGATGTTGCAGGCTCCAAACACCACATTGTATAGCAAGGGTTTGAATGAATTTTTGTTTGTCCTTTCTGATAAATATTTTAGCTCTAATGAAACAAGGAAGTAATTAAACCTTATTAACCATGAAGTAATCACAAGAGCAAAACAGCTTGGTATATGAGTAAGACTGAGACCTTTAATGTATGGGTTTCTTACTACCAAATAATTTTCATAGTGCTCACCTTTTCTTTTTTTGCTTGGATCTAGGGCTCTCCAGGACTTCCAGGACTCACTGGTCCCAAAGGTGTAAGGGTTAGTAGTCCAACCAGTTCATCCCAATGGTTTGATGAATATTCTGCTTCTTTTAAAAAGATCAAATTTGCACTGTAAAAGTTATACAAATGTCAGAAAGGAGTACATTGTATATGATTCTGTAGATGAAATTCAAGAACAGATAGAAGTCAAAATAGTGGTTAGTATGTTAGGGGCAGGTGTTGATTGACTGGGAAAGGGCATGGGGGAAGCTTCTGGGATGAAAGAGATGCTACGTCCAGATGGGGTGGCAGTAATACAAAAGTGAACCTCAGTAACCATTCGGCAAGCTGTTCACAGAAGTTTGGAGCACTTTACTCTTATGCAAGTTATACCTTAAAAGTCTACCCCCAAGAGCCAAAAACAACCCTAAAGATTCCTTTTTATATAATTATTAGATTTACAAAGGGTTGTCAAACCTTTTTTGTGTGTTTGTTTTTCAAGCCTGTTTTAGCTATTCCCAGGTATAGTTGCAGATAGAGAGTATTGCAATGGTAAATAATTTTATGTTTATGGGTTAAACATGTTTAATGTGTTTTTCTTGTCACCCCTACTCTTTTCTATGTCTTCAGGGAATAACTGGATTGCCAGGATTTTCAGGTCCTCCTGGACTTCCAGTAAGTAATGGGAAAAATATGTAGCTGGAAAAAGTAAAAGGAAGCTCATTTTAGTAAAGATATTGAAACGGTAGCACAAGAAAATGTGTTCTGATTCATTTGTCACATGAAGAAAATGGCACTGTTAAAATAGCATAATGTATTAGAGTAGGGATTTGTAGGACATAAGGTCAAATTGTATTTCTGGAAATACAAACAGAAAGAATAGAATAGAATAGGATAGAGTAAAATAAAACAGTGGAATAGAATAGAACATTCTGTGTAATTTTGTAAAGTAATAAAACACTTACCCCTGCACATATTTTCCTCTTCTCTTTCCCTTCCTTTCTCCCAGCTAAAGCAGCATGTTAAGGGGCTTCATTTTATATAGGCCTTTTGTTTTCTCTAAAACATCCACATATCACCTAAGTCTTCATTTTAATTAGCCTGTTTTGTTTGTTATGTTATTTAAATTATATCCAAAATGATGATTCAAACTTACTACTTAACTATTTAAACAACCATTTATATTCCAATAGCTCTTTGAATTAGCCCATCTTTTCCTTGGGTTCCTTGCTGTGTCCTGGTCCTGAGCCCTGTGATTATGCCTCTGCCTTGAGACATGCTCTTCTTTCAGGGCACCCCGGGCAATACGGGGCCTGATGCACCTGCTGGTTTTCCAGGATGCAATGGTTCTAAGGTATGTACTTTTCACACAGACGATGGTTCATAAATGCTTTGCTGAATGAATAAATCAAGGTGAGTTAGCAGTGAGATGGGAGAGGCTTTCCTTGAAACATTCTTTTATCTAATATCAACACTATGTGTTTTCAGGGCAGAAATATGATTTTTGAACCAAGAACCTTCCTGATTCCTTCCTCTTTATTCTTTGCTTTCTAATTGTATTTTAAGGATATTCTTACATATTATCCCACGGAAAGATAACTGGGGGCTCCATTGGTTATTTTCATCTGAGGTTGTGTATATAAATTAGAAACCAAAGCATGGAGTGTAAAATTAGTCTGGGGGGAGAATGACCGAGGTTTTTGATGCTCAGTCTCCTCCTTTTGTTTCCTAACTGAGCTCTCCTTTCCCCCAGAATGGTGGCCATGAATGAACTAATTACTTAAGTTTCAAGGAAGCAGCAATTAAAAAGTTCTTGGCACAATTAGATTTTGCCATTTATGCACAATTTGAGAAACACTAGATTCTAATCCAGTTTTCAATTAAGATAATGATTTTCTGGCCTTCAGCCTCATGACCCAGTAGCCATAAGAAATTTGGGTTACTTTGTCTAGATTTACCACCGCAAGGTTGGTAAAGAAAGTAACAGGGAAAATATCTGAATAGGCTTTTCTGAGACAACTAAGAATAATGACAAACTCCTTGTGTCTTCCAGGGGGAGCGAGGGTTTCCAGGACTTCCAGGGACACCAGGCTACCCAGGGATCCCGGTAGGATTGCATTTCTAACTCCCCAGCAAAGACATAAAGTATGAATAAAAGTAACCTGCTCCATAAGGCCATATACATGAATCTGGCATGATTTAGGGGAAGTCTGGGGCAACCAATAGTTGACATGCAACTATCCCCTAATCATTACGGAATGAATGAATAAATGCATTGCTAGTTCAGGGTTAGACTTTGAGGCTTTGTTTTGCCTTTGAGACATCCAAGTAGAGAATCACTCTGAGGAGAAACTTGTGGTGACTTAAGAGTGACAGAGAGAACGGGGACTTAGAAGGGAGCCTTAGCTCCACAGGTAATGTCTAAGTCAAGGAGGATGCCCTATAAAGGAAGAGTGGCCCTGGTGGGAGAAAGGAAACCAGAGTGGTGCATTAGAATCCCAGAAACGATATATTTCAGTAGAAGGGAGTGGCAGACGGCAGTCTAAAGCTGCTGGGAAGTCCAGTAAGATGAAGACTGATGTTTTGCCATTTGTTTTAGCAACATCAACGTTGTTGCTAATCTTAGGAAGGGACACTTCCATGGCAGGATGCAGGCAGGAGGCAGATTTAGAACTGAGGAGTGAACGGAATGGGAAGTTTGCAGGTGAGACGAGGGAGAGACAGGGCAGTGTGAATGAAGATGAAGGAGAGACTTTGTTTGTTTGCTTAAATGGGAGACACTTGAGCACATTAAAAGCCGGTAGGAAGTATACATGAGGCAGAATAACAGGGAAAAGGAGGAAATAGGAGTGTTTGTGCTTGATTTACCTCCACTTGTTCATAAGCTGCTTTTTTCCTAGGGTGCTGCTGGTTTGAAAGGACAAAAGGTAAGTCATTTGTGGAATATAGTTATTGAAAATCTCTAATCATACATACAAAAAGAACTTCTATTAAATAGCGAGATATGTCATTATAAATCAAATTTCATAATACAGACATTATTAATTCAGAAATCATAATAATTGGGTCATGATATTTATTCCTGTTAAATGGCTCTTTCTGGCTCTCATCATCAGTGGGTCTTAAGGATACAGGTTTTATATCATCCTTTAAGGAAATAGGGTCTAGGAGATGAGACCTGACCTCATGCCCAGGGCCCCACACTCTAGGTCAGGAATTGCCACTACTTTTGGTGTCAAGGGAGATGATTTGTTATCCCTGTATCTTTCTTCCTTCCGCAGTAAATTGTCAATTTTAGAAAATATGAAAATCCTTTGATTTCTTCAGAATGGAATAACTACAAAGTCCTAAATAATAAATAGTTATCTAAGTATATATCCCCCAAAGCACTTTTATCCTTGAAGAAGTGTGACCCTCAATAAGCATTTAAGGGGAGTTTTAAAATATAACATTGATTGTGTTTGATGAAATTCTTCATTTTTAAGGGTGTTCCTGCTAAAGGAGACGATATAGAATTTAATGGAAAAGGTGACCCTGGATTGCCAGGAATTCCAGGATCCCAGGTACAGCACTTTGGAGAAGATCTCCATCATTTGCAACCTCACTCTCTCTCTCCCCCTCTCTCCCCATCTCTCTTTTCCCTCTGTATGTCTTTCTCACTCTCTTAGGACCATTTTAAATAGACATTCATATTTAATCTATTTAAATGTGCCTCTTTTATTCTAAAGCATTCACCTTCTTACAAGAAACTGATATTCAAAGATGATTTTGTATGCATGCCTTTTAATCTCTTCTTAAGTCTCAGTTGTCCGAGCTTTCCTGAAAGTAAGAAGTCTTTAAGAAATAGTTAATCTGCATTTGTTGAAATCAGGGATGAGTTTGTATCACACATTGAATATAATTTAAAACTGTAATATGAAATAGCCCGATTTTTACTTTTGCCAACGTCTATTTCTAGGCTCTAGGGATACAGCAGGACACAAATCAGCCAAAAAAAATAGTTTTAAAAAATTCTCACCCTCACCTAGTGGGGGAAACAGAAAAAAGTATGAATTAGTACCTCTGTGGTATGTTAGATAGTAATGAATGCCAGAAGAAAAATAATGCCGGGAAGGGGGATTGGAAGGGTTGGAAGTTGTGATACGACTTTGGATAGACTGGGAAGGCCTTACAGAAAGGATGACCATTGCATACAGGTAAGAAAAGGAAGAGGAAGTGAGTCATGTAGCTATCTTGGGAAAGAGGATTCTAGACAGAGGGAGAGCAGGTGGAAGCCCCTTCGGTAGGAGCATGCTTGACCAAAACACAGAAAGACAAAAAGAGAGAGAGAAGCAAAATTTTGAAAACTTCTAAAAGAAAGCAGCTGCCCTGGCCATTTTCCTGGAAGTGACATCATCAGGAGAGTCCCAGCAGCCTGTCACACATGGCAACATACTTTTCGGTATTTATCATAATTAGCTGCAGTCACTTGGAAGGGAGGTGTTATGCTCTTCTGATTTTATTAAAATATTTTAATGCACTTAGTTAGTGGACATTGTTCTTAAGTGAGAAGTATATCTAAACTTACTCCTACTCTTCTTTTAATTTAAAGGGTTTGCCAGGCCCTCCGGGTTTTCCTGGGCCTCTTGGCCCACCTGGCCCTCCAGGACTCTTTGTGAGTATGAAGTCACCATTGCTACAGACACTGGAAACTAAAAAGTTATTTATAGCAAAAAGTTTTTAAAAAGTTTTCTGGCTGGGTGCGTTTCCTACTGTAATTTAAATTTGTGGATTTCTCTAGGGCTTTCCAGGAGCCATGGGACCTACAGGACCTAAGGTAGATTACAATCACATGTTGCATCAGCCAGAACACCATAACCAATGCAAAAGCCAAACCTGGCCTATTTCTTCACATGGGTCACTGGAGGGCACCTCTCTGGAGCTCACGAGGATTCCCAGCAGGAAAGGGAACATGGCTGGCAGCTCTTACCTCTCTTCTCCCGGCACTTCAGTAACTCAATGCCTGATACAGGGTCTTAATTCAATTATAAGGAGCTCCTTATGAAGGAAAAAGGCAAAGATTTCTAATCCACAGGTTTTCCATTTCTGATAATCCTACTGGTCACCCAACACTTTATCCTATAAATTTTTGTAGTGGGCTGCTTTGCAAAACCCACTTGAGTGTATGCTAGTAAATAAAAGGTGGTTGTTTCTGTGCTCATTAAGGTGAGTCATTCATGCGTTTCTATTAAAAAGGTTAATTGTTAGTTTAAGGATAAAAATGTTGCGTGAGGCTGAGCTCTACCAGGAAATGCGTACTAAGCACAGTATCTCTTTCTATTAGGGGCCCTTGTGTGTTGGGCACTTTGCAAGGTGTTTTCACATTTATTATTTCATTGATGCATGAAAGTGCACATGCAAACACACATATACACACACACAGAGGTGGATAGGTTCAGGTTAAATGAGTTGTTTGATAGACAGTGAATGGTAAATCTGAGGTTTAAATTCTTGATTCCGGGCCGGCCCGGTGGTGCACTGCTACAGTGCGCCGCTTGGGAGCGCAGCGGCGCTCCCGCCGAGGGTTCAGATCCCACATGCAGACCAGGTATGTTAGATAGTAATGAATGCCAGAAGAAAAATAATGCCGGGAAGGGGGATTGGAAGGGTTGGAAGTTGTGATACGACTTTGGATAGACTGGGAAGGCCTTACAGAAAGGATGACCATTGCATACAGGTAAGAAAAGGAAGAGGAAGTGAGTCATGTAGCTATCTTGGGAAAGAGGATTCTAGACAGAGGGAGAGCAGGTGGAAGCCCCTTCGGTAGGAGCATGCTTGACCAAAACACAGAAAGACAAAAAGAGAGAGAGAAGCAAAATTTTGAAAACTTCTAAAAGAAAGCAGCTGCCCTGGCCATTTTCCTGGAAGTGACATCATCAGGAGAGTCCCAGCAGCCTGTCACACATGGCAACATACTTTTCGGTATTTATCATAATTAGCTGCAGTCACTTGGAAGGGAGGTGTTATGCTCTTCTGATTTTATTAAAATATTTTAATGCACTTAGTTAGTGGACATTGTTCTTAAGTGAGAAGTATATCTAAACTTACTCCTACTCTTCTTTTAATTTAAAGGGTTTGCCAGGCCCTCCGGGTTTTCCTGGGCCTCTTGGCCCACCTGGCCCTCCAGGACTCTTTGTGAGTATGAAGTCACCATTGCTACAGACACTGGAAACTAAAAAGTTATTTATAGCAAAAAGTTTTTAAAAAGTTTTCTGGCTGGGTGCGTTTCCTACTGTAATTTAAATTTGTGGATTTCTCTAGGGCTTTCCAGGAGCCATGGGACCTACAGGACCTAAGGTAGATTACAATCACATGTTGCATCAGCCAGAACACCATAACCAATGCAAAAGCCAAACCTGGCCTATTTCTTCACATGGGTCACTGGAGGGCACCTCTCTGGAGCTCACGAGGATTCCCAGCAGGAAAGGGAACATGGCTGGCAGCTCTTACCTCTCTTCTCCCGGCACTTCAGTAACTCAATGCCTGATACAGGGTCTTAATTCAATTATAAGGAGCTCCTTATGAAGGAAAAAGGCAAAGATTTCTAATCCACAGGTTTTCCATTTCTGATAATCCTACTGGTCACCCAACACTTTATCCTATAAATTTTTGTAGTGGGCTGCTTTGCAAAACCCACTTGAGTGTATGCTAGTAAATAAAAGGTGGTTGTTTCTGTGCTCATTAAGGTGAGTCATTCATGCGTTTCTATTAAAAAGGTTAATTGTTAGTTTAAGGATAAAAATGTTGCGTGAGGCTGAGCTCTACCAGGAAATGCGTACTAAGCACAGTATCTCTTTCTATTAGGGGCCCTTGTGTGTTGGGCACTTTGCAAGGTGTTTTCACATTTATTATTTCATTGATGCATGAAAGTGCACATGCAAACACACATATACACACACACAGAGGTGGATAGGTTCAGGTTAAATGAGTTGTTTGATAGACAGTGAATGGTAAATCTGAGGTTTAAATTCTTGATTCCGGGCCGGCCCGGTGGTGCACTGCTACAGTGCGCCGCTTGGGAGCGCAGCGGCGCTCCCGCCGAGGGTTCAGATCCCACATGCAGACCAGTTCCTGCTCACTGGCTGAGCGAAGTGCGGGCGCAGCACCGAGGGTTGCGATCCCGTTGCCGGTCCCGGTCCGGTACGGGCTCGACACTGAGGGTTGCGATCCGTTGCTGGACACGAAAAAAGACAAAAAAAGGGAAAAATAAATAAATAAATTCTTGATTCCTCTACAGGCTAATAGGGGAGATAATCTGCATACACAAGAGCACAAAAGCAAGGAGATATGGGTTAAAATGATGGATTGGCCATTCTTACTGAAGGGAAACTTCACGTTAGGCTTATTTCATGTGACTAAGTTACTAATGAGGTCAGGTTGCTAGCGAATGCTATTCTTAGCTTCTCTATTAAGTTTTGAATTTCAGAATCCTGAAGTTAAGCCACCCATCCCTCTTATTTTTAAGATAAGAATATAAAGGTATGAGGAAGTTAAGCAGCCAGCCAGTGGATCAAAGCTAACTGGTGACTGAGCCAGAAAAATGTCCTCTGAGCTGGGCTCCTTTCCCTAACCAGTACCCCTTTAAGCCATTGTTTACCATACTAAGTAAATCTCTGACATTTTCTGCCCCTTAAGATCTCCACCTTTAAAAGAAACACATTCCTGCTCTACTCTAAGAAATACCCAAAATAACTTTATTAATTCTAAAATTAAATTTAAACTATAAATGTTTGGTTGCAAATATTGGAACTTTAATGGGTGTAGACTATTTATTTCTACTTATTTTTAAAAAATAATTTTGTTTTCTGTTTTCTTATAGGGTCACATGGGCGATAATGTGATAGGACCAAAAGGAGAGCAGGTAATTTAAATACTATGGTTTATTAGTGGGCAACATAGTTTAAGTTCCATAGCATGTCAGCCGATACAATCTATTCACTAGCCAACTTGAAATTAATGCATTTTCATTTGCTCTGTCTTCTTGCATAAGAGCTAAAGGGAAAAAGTACATCTTTCAAACATAATAGAGGTGACATGTTGATCATGTTTAGTTTCTCATTCCTGGGTGTATTTGTCCTTAGGGTGTGAAAGGATTAACAGGACCCCCTGGACCACCAGGAACAGTTATTGTGACACTTACTGGCCCAGACAACAGAACGGTAACTCTGCAATTCTGTTATTAGGGTTGCGGTATCTTCTCGTTTCTGGGACAAAGTCCCTGGGATCCCCTACCTCTTTTACAAGCTCTGTCATCTGAGCCCAGCTCAGCCCAGTCCCCTGGGCCAGCCTGAACTCCAGGCCTTCTTCCTTCCCCGTCCTCCACTCGTGAGCCCAGAGATATTAGATGGGGAGGATCTGAGGCAAGTTTCTTCCAAGATTCATGAAGGTAGAGCCCGAGTATGTTGGTTTTCTCTCTGGTTTCTCCATTTCTTCTCATTGTCCCCCACACAGAGTGGGTCTTCAGTGAGTGTTTTTGAATAAATGATAACACGATGGTGTGTGGCTCTGATCAAACTGGATGGTCCTGATCTGAAGGTATGGGCGAAGAGGGTGTCGTAATGGAATGGGACATTTTCTACCTGTGATTGCAACCCCAAGGACATTGTGGCCCCCACTCATCACCAACGACACTATGACCCTCATTTTGACATTAACGTTTGCTTTTTGCTCCTGTAGTGGGGTGGCTAGGGGGACCAGAGTATAGGACTGAATTGAATTTTCAGAAGAAGTGGATCTGCACTATGACACGCCAGTCCTAGACACTAGAGTGATCCTGGGATTCCTGGGAGGGGCACAGAGCAAGTGAGGGGGTAGCTAACAATTTTCTTGTGGATTAGCTAAGAAATAAACACAAACCATCCTTCTCTTTTTAAACTTATAATTAACTGCTTAAAATAATAGCTTGATGGAGATATAATTCGTATACTATCAAATACACCCTTTTAAAACGTACAGTTCATGGGTTATAGTTATAATTAATTTTTAAGAACTTTAAGATATAATTCACATACCATGAAATGTGCTCATTTAGTGTACAATTAAATGGCTTTTAGTGTATTCACAGAGTTGTAAAACCATCACCACAGTCAATTTTAGAACATTTTCATTATGCCAGAAAGCAACCCCTTAGCCATTATCCACCCAATGTAACTAATTTTTAGTGATAAAAATGATCAAAAAAAAAAAAAAAAAAAAACTAAAAAAAAAAAAAAAAA